GAAAGGGAAAGAGCTGTTACACGCTCTATTATGTGCAACGTACTCGTAACGAGCAATTTTCTAGTCATTAATGCAACGATTATACGACAGAGCTATTACGTTTACTATATCAATGATGCGGAATGTCACAACTTATGCTGCACACGATGTAGGTTGCAGAAACGAGCGGATTTATCAGTAAATTCCTATAACAGTATATTCCTCGCGCGTTCGCTAATTTTAAATTTAATTATTTAGGGGCGATACACGAGATAGTTTATCACACGGCGATTTTCGTATCGGTGTTAAGACATGTATCTTGAAGAGTCGTCCAAAATTCTTCAACCCTCTAATGTGCACTTTAGCTTATTTTGCGCGATATTTTTAGAACTCCTAAAAATAATTATATCCAAAACTAAAGAGAATGATTAGATTTTTACTATCCTTCTGCGAAGGCATAATTCGACGACCGTGGAACACCCTGTAGGGTAAAAGCATCTCTTTAAAAGAGTTTATAACCGCGGACAATCGATGTGGTAACACACGGAAATAATTAAAAAATAAATAAATAAATAAATGAAGATTACATGATTATCTTTAAAATACGCAACAGATCCGCCATGGCAAGTCAAGAAACCTTTGATAGCGACGCTCGATAGTATAGCGATGCTGAGCGCCGGCGCCTTTCCCTCGCAGCCCCATTGGTGCCGAAGGCCCTCTCCACACGAGTACCCGTTGCCGGGTTTCCTTGGAAACGCTTCGTTCACGCTGATGTCTACCCTCGCCCACAGAAAACCTCTTTCAATTAGGCAGCCTGCCGCCCGACAGACCCACGAATCCCGGTTTTTTTTTTTTTTTTTTTTTTTCTTCCTGACATTTCCCGAGAAAGAAGAAACGAACACGCGCTGTTCCGGAGCCGGAAGAAGAAGTCCGGGTTCGCTGACATGACTTTGAAACCACTAATTCATTAAACACTCCGGAAAGTGTGCACCGGAGTCAATATATCGCGCGATTCTCACCATGATGACGGATAAAAATCATGAACCGAGGTAGACGCGAGGGTAGCGCGACTCTGAGGCATTCAATAACAACTCGAATTAAGTTTTATAATATTATAAGTGTTGTTATACGATATCGAAAAACGAATTTCCACATATGGTTAATTTAGAAAAATAATTATCAAAGTTTGTAAATTAAAATTCATTTAAAAATTAAAGTTTTAGATGTGTCTCTTAAAGAAGCTTTCGTTTATCGTATCAAACTTATTGGTCTCTTTGTAGAAATAAAATATCTTTTCATCCGACATCTATACGCATAACTATTCTCACAATACAAATACCTATCTTATTTTATAACAAACGAAGATACGCGATATATCCTGCGACTCGCATGTGCGAATTTATATACGTACGTGCGCGAAAGAGAGTGGCTGCTTGATATGCGGCACAACGCTCGGCTTGACTGACGCCTCCAAGTTGCGAATAAAATTTTCATGAATTTCTATTAACTCCGTTTTTCTAGACGTGCCCCGGAGACTTAAAAGAGTTCCGTCAGCTGATAGCCCGCGGGGAGATCAAGCCATTCTTCCGCGCGATGGTCAAATTCGATCGAGTTGACAAATTTTTAGCTGACTTGCTCTCGGATTAATTCGATGATATAAAGCTATTGCCAAGTGCGGGGATCTTAATTCATCTACTTAATTTTTAAAATATTCACGTTTTAGAATTATTTTTTTAATATAATGTAAAGTAATCTCATCTGATCGAGCAAAATAATATCACAAAACCCGAGAGTATATTATAATAAATCAAAATCTTTTTGTTTATAAAGTTTTCTATCAATATTCATCATTTTTAATGACTAATTATCATTTAATTTTCATGAAACTTTTTGTCAATTTTCATGAAATATTTCATTGGTTAACTTTATTTTCTGATTTTTGATTAAAATATGTGGTTACGCCGAGTAATTGAACGGAAAAGTTGATGAACTCTTAAATGAATAGAACAGAAATTCAAAGATTTTTGTTCTACGAATTTTGAGATATAGATTTCCGTCGGCTCCGTATTTAGATAAACTGCGGAAATCACGAGTGTATTCTTGCTGTCAAAAACACATTACGCTCGTTAAATTATAATATGAAAGATGCTTCGATTTACCGTGTCTTTTTAAAATTGATTTGACGTTTATTATTGACATGTCTATTTTTAATCTTCATTCTGCACTATTTTTGATTCTTTGCATCTCTCTATGTTAATATAATGCGATATATAATTAGCTTAAATCATTTCTCTTAAATCAACTTTAACTCGTGAAGTAAAACTATTCTTATTTTTAATTGCATGTTGAACAATAATACGTCTAAGCTAGAATTATCCTAATTAATAATTAGTCATGGATGGCTCAATATACATCCCGTATGCCTACGCATAAGAAAACCTTAGAAAATAATAGCTTTCGAGGAAACCGCTTTTGAAATCGGATTTCTCGAACCTTGATCGAGGAATTCCTGATATTAGACGCAGGACTTGCGGAGTTTCCGCAAAGTTTCGCGGTCACCCCGCAACCAAGCGGAACCCACCAAAATTCGGAACCCCGCAGGGCGAGGGCTTAGCTGCTCTGCTCCAAGTTTCACTTTAATCCAAAAAGCCACAGTAGGCCGGCACAATTGATTCCACCGGAGAGTTCCGGTACTGTCTGGATATGTTTCTAAAGGATAACTGCGAGGTCACCACGCGACAATATATGTTATATTGTAACCCCTTGACTTATCACTCATTTACACTACATTTGTGTCATTAAATTTTCACTCTATCGTCGAACGCTATCTTTAATTTGATTAAACTTTTATAAAATTCGTCCCTACAAAATCTTACGTTGTTATTAATTAATAACAATGTTTTATTATACTTATGCATGATAGTTGCTCATCAGAAATAATCTCACATTTATATGATAATATCTTTAAAGTGATACCGCATGATAATAATCTCAATAATCGAAATGTATATGTTTATATAAATGAATCGGTTATTGCGCAAAGCGCATGTGTTTTTAAAAAATAGAATATGATTTTCTCGAAAAAAAAGTAATCGATTTTTCTAATATTTTAATATAATAAATGGGATGATGTAACGTTATTTTTTTCTCGGTGACTGATTTAAATATTTGAACTTAACGCCATATTACAACTATTTTAATATGCACGATATCTAAATTCTCGCAATGTAATCCCGGCACGACAATGAATGTAAAGTCACGCGATAGATTTCATTTCACGCTGGATTAATCGTTTCGTGCCGACGGCGGTCTGTATATTTTGACCACACCTACCTGAACGCGACTTTCCGTGAGGCCGATTCTCACAGCTATTTCCTCTCTCAGGAAGATGTCCGGGTAGTGAGTTTTGGCGAAACACCTTTCCAATTCGTTGAGCTGAGCTGGTGTGAAACGTGTCCGATGTCGTTTTTGCTTCGCGGGTTTGTCATCGCCTTGCCCGATCACCCCCGCGCTTCCTAAAATACGAAATAAATAGATAAATAATGTAAACACATCGAGTGCCGATTTCTCCGATATCAACTATCCTCAACTAATTTCAATAAATTTCTAAGTAATAAAATATTTAAATTACAAGTCATATCTTCTCCCCATATCTTAACAGACAGAAAATTACGAGAAGTATCTAATATACATAAAACGCACTATTTTTGGCTCAAATATTAGTTAAAAGTTATTAATAAAATTAATTTAAAATAGGCTGCATTTAATTAAATATATGTTTTACCAGTATATACTTTTACTGCAATTTACTCAATAATTATCACAATACAAGCTACTGCAATATACTGAGAATATTCAACAAAAGGTTTTTCCTTCTAATTCACAATGTAAACATCCATTCTGAGAATATTTCATATACTTATTACAGCTACTCACGAAACATTCGCGGAAAATCTATGCAGTTCATCTTCTCATTTAACACATTATTATTCCACTTATTCAAAGAACAAATAAAATCATTCATATATTTAATCTCAAATTATTTACAGTTATTTTCATATAGCTCTGTCTCAGAATGTGAATACAAGACATATAAGGTATAAAGTAAAGTAATTGAATTATATATCGAGCTTCTTTATCTAATTTTGTTTAATAATCTCATACACATTTTTCTATTCAAGATTGGAAGAGGATTAACTTGTGAGTCATTTTATTAGATTCGCGCGATTATTTTGCAAATCATTCTCTGAGTCTCCTTTGATTGATTTCCGAAATTCTTTAACAAATTTAAACATTCCAACGAAACACGGATAAAAAATATTCATTATAAGCAAAAATTTTATTGGCTTGATAAATCTGTAGCCGTAATATATGTATACATATTGTCCGTTTTCTCTGTATTATGATAATCATAATTAAATCTCAAATATTGCATAAAACTATAACTAATAAAATTTTGTGTTTTACTCAAAACACTTTTCTTTTTTATTTAATATTAATTCAAGATATACTTGGACATTTCCAATAAAATATTTGTTGAAATAGTGCATGTTTTGTACCGGAGAAAATTTGGCATGTCAATACTTTTCATTCTAACAAAAAAAAAAAAAAATTGATTGTTCGAGCGTACTGAGGTCAAAAAGATCGAACTTTTCAAATATAATTTATTCGCTACGCTAATCTAGTTAGTTGTAAATATTAAATAGATTTGTTGAATCGACTAATGCATTTTCTGTTTTTCCATGCGAACGCGACGGACGACGAGCGCTCACCTGCGCCAGGCATAGTCATGATCAGCTCGTGATGAAGCGTCACGCTTCCACCCGCGGACAGACCGGACCCCAGATTCACTCCCAGCACGCCGTGCTCCTTCTCGTACCGCTTCAGATCTTGCACATCCTTCGCTCCTACGCGCGTGCAGCAACGGGGACGGCGCGGGGCAGAAAAAAAGAAGACGTGCCGCTTCAGTTTTCTTCCCTTTTTTCTCTTTTCGCCGGGCTTCCTCCTCGTGCTCCACACATGCCTCCCGCTCGCCCGCCCCACGCGCCCGCTCTACGTAGTTTAAATTTGTATAGGAGCAGAAGCCGGCCGAGGGGCGTACGGACCACTTAGCGAGAAGGTGCGAGAATCGTCACCGTACTCTGGCTTCTAGCTTCGGCCAACACACATGCGTCCTACGCACACTCGCGCGCAAGTACGTATTGTACGCTCTCAAACGTGTATGCACACATGCATGTGCTTTGCGTACGTGCGCGCGCGTGTTTCTCCCTCTATATGTTACGCGTGAATATGCAAATGTGTTGCGGAGGTTGTCCATCTCGGATCGCGGTACGCCCATTCCTTCTCGGACCCAGTATGTGTCAGATTATAGGTATCGCACATCGTTGTGCATTGTCAAAGATGCTTACGTAATGAGATAAACTAGTTTAGTTGGGTACGACGTAAACGCATCTTCTGCGTCGCGCGAGCTAGACAAAGAGCGCTCGTTAAAAAATTTCCATCCATGAATGATAATATTATGCAATAGAACTCCACGAAAAAAAAGGAGACTTGGAACAATGAAATATCTCGTCTAAAACTATGGTTATGGCATTAAATATAAATATTTTTATAAGCGCAAAAATTTTCCATAGAATTGGCCGAATAGCATCAAAATTTTTCTAATCACGTGCATCTTGAAGTTTCTATTTTTGATGAATTTTAATAATCGAGATGTTGAGACTTTTAGAAAACTATAGACACAGCATTATTTTTCATTAGAATGACGTGGAAAACTTTCCCTGAATCTCTCTATTTTGCAAGTTTTATTCAGATTCATTATTATTTATTAATTTTATTTAAATTGATTGAACCGTAAACTTTCTTAACAATAAGAAAATGCAGGATATAAATAGAAATCTATCAATTTTATTTATAGTCACACAAAGTTATAGAGAATCTATATCAAACTATCGGACCACCATGTAGTGAGGTTTGACTGAATGAATGTCTTATATGAATGAACTTTATGACAGATCTTTATTTCTATTTTAGTTTTATAAGCCTATATATAATGATAATATCCGGATTTTAATGGTAGTCCCAGCATTTATAAGCCCCTTTATTCGACTGAAATTTAATGAATTTCTTTAACATTCTCACTGTGTGTGTAATTCTTCATCCACATCAATGACAAACTCTGTTAGTGTATAAAAATTGCACAGCACAATCACAGTTTTGTCTAAATCGCATATATTTTAGTGGAAAGAAAAAAAAACTTTCCTACGTAATTAAATTCACATTATATACTTTGAAATATCTTTTCTCAGATTAATGATTAAGAATTATTATTTAATCCCGTATTAATTGATGGGATTATCAAAGATCATAATCAAATTAACACGCTAATCACTAAAGGATCGCATGCGACGCAACTAACATAAGTATTCGTATTACACGTGTATTTTTTTACTCACTGGAGTATCGTAGTAATTTAGAACGCGCATGAAGTGATTGTAGAAAAAAAAAGAAATTTTTATAACGTTCGATTGTTGCAACGTTTATCGACATTTGAAAACTTTATGATTGACAGCCGTTCGCGCAGAGAGAGAGAGAGAGAGAGAGAGAGAGAGAGAGAGAAACGTCTGAATAATAAAGTCATAAATTACATTACTATATGCGGAAATGTCGTGACAGACGTATTTATTCGCATGTCACAGTCGCGAATTGGTGCCCGCCTTGTCTCAATGGATGGCCGACGCACCAAATGCAATTAACGTATATCATAAAAAATTTTAACGGACATACTTTAAGTATGACGAAATGTACGCGCGCAATGCCATCCAAGGGCTAAATTTTATTTTCGCGATATCGCGTAAGTTGAAGGGAGATAATTGGACGTATCGATGCAATTACGAATCGATCAACCATTAGTAAGTATACGTTTAATCTCATTTCGACAAATGACAGATAAGTATAATTTATTAGACGCACAGCAGAGGCAATACCGTTATGATCTACCGCGTTTGCACGAAACGCATAATCACAGCTATATAATCACGAATATACAATTATAATCGTTTGAATAATAAGCCAAGATCCTAATAAAAGTTAATCATCTAACAAAAATTTTGCATCTTTAATTTGTCTGAATTATCATTCAATTTATTCGATAATAATATTATTCCGATATAGAATAGAAAGCAAATATGTATAAATCATATAAATCATATAAACATCACCTACTCCTTAAAGTAAAAAATTGAACTATAATTTTCTTTTAATCCGGTTAACGTGTACCGCTTTATTCAGTTCACGCCACTTACAACATTCTAACTCTCTAAATCGTTCCTCAACTTCCCGCGTAATGTAATCAGTGTTGAGGTAATTAAGATCATCAAACTCGAGAAGCGGCTTTCTTGAGACGGAAGATATCGAAGAGGCGCGCGTCACGTGTACCGGCAATCTCACACTATTATTTTATACGGATTTTTAAACTAATTTTATTTTTGTCTTTTTATTTTCCTGTTTACGATCCTAGACGATAAATTCAGAGAGAAAAATTTTCCTAATTGAAAATAATGTAAATTAACATAATTTACTATCTTACTTGATATAAAAGATGCATACCAAAAAGGAAATAATACAAAAAATTATACGTACATTATTAAAAAAGTTATCAATTATTTATATATTATTCATTACAGGGGGTTTTAAAAAATTCTTACGGTTGTTATTTTAAATAATTTTATCATTCAAATATTTAACACAAACCAAATAATACTGAATATATCTTTAATTTTATATAAATGTTTCTATAATTAAAGAATTTTGTTTCACTTGTTAATGTGCACAGATTAATAAAAAATTGATGTAAGAAATATAAGTTTATGGATATACTAATATAATCAATATTTTAAAGGAGAATTATACGATGCTAAACACATCCCCATGACATTCGGTAGGATTCACAGTGGATTAACCAAGCAAAACAATCCCTACGATGGTGCCAGCCGACGGTGATGTGAGTTAAATTGATTAATTCGTATTCATTCAGGATTCATTTTTTTTTTGTAAGCATGATAAAATAAGAAATGTAATGAATCATAGTGGCGGAATTAAATTAAAATGTGCGCATAAAAAATATAATTTTAAGTAAAATTTGCAATTAATAAAAAAAATTAAATTAAATAATATACTGAATAATTAAATTGTGGTAATAATTATTCAGCGACAGAAATCATAATAATACTATTTTTATTTAATTAATTCATATGTTTTACACAGGAAATGACTTTTGCCTCGTAAAAGATCTTTGATACGATACCAACTGTGACATTTAATCATAATTTTTTACGTTTTTTACAATTATTATTTTGTGATAGAATGTATGTATGTTCTTAGAAATTTAATTATAAATAGTAATTAACTTTAAATAAAATTATGTACACCATAATATTATATAATGCGTATAAGAAGATTTTAGAATTTAGAATTACATAATCAAATTATAATTATTTAAATGATAACCGTTTAACGCTCTCTCATTGTGGATGTTATTTGATTTTAGATATTTTGTAGTAATGTCTGATTATAATTAAGGACACACTACTTGGATGTTAATTACAATACACTCACTAATGATAATGTTATGTGAAAAAAGGAGTGATATAGTAAAAAGTTGAGATTAGAATTTGAACGTCAGAACTAGCTCTGGCACTTTAGAAAAACCATGAAGAAACACGCCTCTTATGGGACACCTGATGCTACAATGATACTTGGCGCCGCACTTTAAATCTGAGATTGTAGTATCAAAGTTTACACTACTACTACATCAATATTATACTGTCACTTTTCTCTCTTCGGCGTATTTTATATTAAATATAAAAGTATGAAAATAGAATCAATTTTTTACGATATCACACAGCGATATAATCGTTGTGATAACACTAATTAATTTTTATTTTTTTTTCGTGATATATATATTTTTTTATGATGATAATATCAATTAAAATATATTATTAGTTATCCGATTCTCCGTAACTTCTGTCATAATTTCAAAAATTTACAGCTTGCAATCCACCGTAAACATTGGTGAAACCGGACGCTATTATTCAGATTGATAGAATCTGCGATTGACACTGCATTAAATTTTCAAATTATGTATCTGATTTAATCAAATTGCCCAACACTTCACGATATCTTTCACACATTGATTAAAAACTTTAGACACGATATACGGAACTCTTGTACAGATTAGAAGCGAAGCGCGCATCTACCGTCGGCGATATATTAGCGGCTCTCAAGCATTTTGATTAAAAAATACATTTGATGCTTTAATTGAAATGCATTTGCTATCCATAATTGGAAAGATAATAATTTAAAAGTCTCACTAAGTGATGCGCATAATTATTAGTAACATATATTAATTAAGACGATTAATGAATACAATTAATTAATGAATACAATAAAAAGTTAATTACAATAATTGATATAATATTTGGCACTCAATGTATCATAGTTTATTAAACGTGAATTACAGTGATATAGTTAAGGTGATAATTTTGTGTGAAATTTTTATAATTTGGGATCAATTCAATATACATTTAATTATACAAGTGTTTTCAATTTAAATCAGGAAATTTTAATAAATTAAAATAGGTTGACAGAAATCGACGAGGGTCGCGAATCTCGGCCAGCTTCAGAATTTCGAAAACAATTCAATCCTGAAAAATTAACCCCAGCGCATAACGAGTAGTTTCGGTCAATATTTAACGGACGAATACGAAGATTATAGCGAAATCGTTACGCGCGCGAATGTTAATTCTTCTCGATACGCACTATAACCGGATAGATCTTTCTGATATACGGTACTTACCGGAGATACCGTGTACGGAACCGCCGGCGGTGATATTGTTGAGCATGCCGCTCCCGGGGAGCGTAGCTCCGATACAGCACGCGGAAGCGGAAATCCGCGTGACACCGCGAACACCTCACCCTCAACTCGGAGGAACTATACAGGGGGACAAAAAAAAAGAACTGATTCTCTGTAGCGGCGCGACGCACGATCCTCCTTAGATGAGTATTTGGAATTGTACAGACGAGCCTGAGGACCGGCCCGTGCCCCAGGAAGGCAAACAGCGAACTGGCCGACTGCCATATCCAAACTCCCCCACTCGTTCCAGCTTTGGCGGCAATATGGGCATCTCGTTCACGTTAATCCGCTCGCCACCAGTTCTCTCGCTCGCACTCGCATCTCGTGAGAGTCCCTACCACCCTCACGTTCTGCAACGGTGGGCGTGATATTAAATCGCTCCTACCCTTCAGATTCAACGGAAACCAGGAAGGTAGCTAGCTGCGACATTACCTTCCTCCAAAATATTATTTTTGCATCGGAATTCTTTTTATTTATTTTTTTTGGAAGTGAAAAATAATAATTACCGGTAAATTATTCAAAACTACGATCATTCATCTTATCTGTGTACCCCATAATAAAATATTATATTGGTAATTGTGGTGAAACGGAATTTTAAATTTTATGTTATTGTTTATAATAATTAATTTATCTCTAGGAAAAGATTGTTATTTTATATGTAAATTCTTCTATATATATTTAAGAATTTGTACATTTTCTCGCATACAAAATTTAATTAAAATATACTTGAAAATTATTCTGGAATAAATCGCGAGATTTTTGTTTGTAATCATCGTCGTCATCCATCGATAAGATTAAGCAAATGCGCGCTTTAAGAGGATATAGATGACACGGTGGACCGGAAGCTTCGCCAAAAAGTGGAAGTATCAGAATAAAAAGGGATAAGGCAGTCGGTGGAGAGACGGATGAAGGAGTCTCGGACCCGTTGACGCGGTACCGTCGCGTCGGCGGATTTTCAGTCGCCGGGACCGCGGTGGTTGGTAGCCGTACGAGGGTTGCCCATATCCCCGAGATGAACTCTATCCAGGTTACCGTCTCTTTCACCGTCTCCGCTTTGTGGTAGGCGGCAACCGCCACGAACACGGCTCCAATGAGCGAGTAGCCCGCCCTCCGGATGCCCCACTAGTTTTCGCGTGGTGGAGATTTATTGAAATTTTATTTTTATGGCCGGGGGGGTAGAAGGGGGGTAGAAGCGCGCGCGAGAGCTCGTCGGCGAGCGCGGGGGTGGAAAAAGAGGGTGGGAGGGAGAGGGCGAACAGACGACCGGCCGAAGGAGAAGAGAGAGCCCTCTTCTCATTTCCTCCGCCTTTCTTCTCCCTTCTCCCCTTTCAACCCCATGCCGCTTCGTTCCCATCCCGTCGTTCTCTATCTCTCTCCCCCGTCGCTCTTTCCGCTTTGCTCGTCGAGTTGTTTCACGTCCTCTCGCAACCTCGCTTCCTCCCTCGCGCGCTCGCTGGAATCTCGCTCGGTTGGCGATCTCGCTTTCTCGTTGCGCCTTATTCCCTCTACATCCTTTTAATTCAATAGCTACCCCTTTTTATAACTCAGCAGCCCGCGCAGCGAGAACGGAAGCGAAGTCGCGATGGCTCCTAACTGATCCGCCAGTCCGCGATTCCCGCGATTCTACATTACAGCATTCCATCCTATTTGTGACAAGCGTAAAGAAACGGTATTTCTTATGTGTATAACGGTAGTTTTATAGTTATGCTGGTAATAGTTTATTAGAATTTTAGATTTGTTCAAAGAGATCGTATTTGCTTCTCTGAATCAAAAGCAAATATGAGGTATAAATGCTTACATTTTATATTTCATACTGTCAAATATTAGTTATAAATTTACGAAAAATGATGCATATATAATAATGCTTATTGTTAATTTGCATAAACATAATTATTAGCATGTTTGATTTTATGCTTACATATAAAAAATATAAATATATATATAATATATTTCTGAATTGCCATAATTAAATATTTATTTTAAGAGCTGTTATATTATCTAAAATTATATTTTTTGATACTCTAAATTTGGTCAAAATTTTATTTACAAATTTAATAATTAATTAAACTGTTTGTGTAATATCGGTTTTTTGTAATATCGGATCAGATATTTAATAATTCTTGTAGTTCTATCAAAATGAGCAAATTCATAAATAACATAATACGGATGACTCTATTTTTAGTGCACTAAATGACTTATTAACATCGCACAAATTAATGTACAGAATATTCCACTCACATTGAAATAAATTTTAATGACAGATTCTTTGACGAATTTGACGTCGTATTGTCATGTACATCGGTAATTTGTAATAATCGGCGTATACATTAGTGATTCATAAACATTAGTTGCCATATTAACATTAAATCGATATTATATTGTAATTCTCTGTTATAATATAACTTTTATGTGGCTTCTATTCTTGTAATTGTATTTTTGTGCAATAAGCGTAGATTTTAGAAATAATATCAGGGCTTATATAAATGATAAAAATGTACAGATAATTTTTATAATATATTATAAAAATAACATGAAAAAGGAAGCTTATATTTCATCTTTTTAATTTAGTAAAAAAGAAAACAGAGAAATAATTCAAATTTAAAATACATCTTATAAACCGTGAAATTTAATAATATTTAACTTTTTTATGATTTCATAAAAAAGTATTACAATATGTGTATTGTTTTACTGTGTATTTATACTGTATATTTGTAACAAATGAGCGTATTACACATTGCCATATTGCTCCTCGCGTAAAAGGGAGAGAGAGAGAGAGAGAGAGAGAGAGAGTCAAGAAGATGTCAAAGAAATTTAATAAACATAATGAAATAGTTGCGTCATCCGAATTTCATACATTTTTTCTTTAATGCAAGGATAATTAACAATGATTAACAAAGTTAATATTTTCCACATTTTTTTATTAGCAATATGATGTTTGCTGGGAGAATTTATTATATGATTTGCTATTCGATGGTAACCAATATTTTTGCTCTCTCCATCTCTCTAATAAATTTTTTACTTATTGTTATTAAGTTTTTGTTTTATTTCTATTTATATATATA